ACTCTATGAGACAATATTTATTATATTTTACATTTACATTTTTTCCTATGATTATTATTTTTTGAAGCATAAACAATGGGATGAGAATAATTTTGGTTCTTTATTACAAGTTGCATGCGGCTTCTTATAAATTGTGTTAATGTGACTGAAAAAAATATTGTAGAATATTTTTTGTGTAGTCAAGATGTAGCTTAAATGAAGAACATATTGAAAATTATGAGATATAATAAACAGGAATTTTTTGGAATCAATTATAAAATAAATAATAGATAACTATGAATATTAACGAGTCAAATTTTAATATACTTAAAATTCTTTCTCGTTTTGAAGTCAATGATTTGTTTAGCATCCGAATCTGATAAATCTAAGAATTCAATAGGTTCTCAGATTTTTTTTTTGTAACTTATCAATAATATTATTAATTGCAAGATAAAATAAATAAATGAAAAGATATAAAATAATCATTTACTGGTCTTTCTCTTAACTAATGGTAGATAAAACGTGCCAAAAAACGGTAACCACTCCCGTTACAGTCAAAATATCTGTAGAGAAATTTATCAGAATATTTTGAAACTTTTAGGGTATATAGATCCTAATGAATAGAGCAAAAAAAAGCTAAAATATCGGACGTATCCTAACAAGCGCTTATATTTTCTTTTGAGTAAGATAAATTTTGTGAAAGCTTCTGAAAATTTTTCTAGAAAAACTCGATAGGATGAAACAAAATTTTTTGGTTTGATATAGAAAATCTTCGATAGTTCAATTCCTATTAATTTAAAAATCTTATTTGAATTATCAAAACGTGCCTGATAAATGGCGTATACTTCAATGTATATGTGTTAATGAAAAATAAAAAAAATTACGAAACTTTTTCTCTTGATTTTCACGTGGAGAAAGGCAAAAAAACATACCCTAAATCTTATCATAGGTTCAAGATATTGAAGTTTTTCTTTAATCGAAATCGCTTGTTATTCAAGGCTTCACTTTTTCTAAATATTTCTGTCATTTTAGATGTTGCTCATTTTTCTAAAATCAACGATTTTTAATTATATAAAAAGCCTACTCTAGAGATAAGTATCTCCAATCACACATAAGTTTGATGATTTATCTTACGGCTCGAACTGATGAATATTTAATTGCAAAAGAATAACAAATGAATGTTTTATGTTATCAATATATTAGTAGTCAAGTAAATGAATGTTTTTTTCTATGGTATCATCATGTAAAACAAAGTTACTATTACTAACTTAATATTGACAATTGCTTCTAGTGATAAATAAAAAAAAAGCAAACAAAAATCTCATTTTTTTCTACTGAATATATAGATGTGCATGTTATTTTTCTTCATGACAGTTAACCTGGGTCCTTATAACAGAAAGATGTGTTGTGCTTATAACTGCAAATAATTTTCAACTATTCATTCGAATATTCTATTTTTAAAATGTCTGAATTAGATACGACTCTACAAGGTTGGAAATGAGAAGAACAATGTAAGATTTTTACTACGTTCTATTCTAAATTTAATTATGGGACCGCCAAAAGTCTATCCTCGTCGTGGTAAGAAATAAGATATATTTTTTTTTATCATAATAATATTCTTTCATCTGTATAAATAAACAGGTGATATTACTGGTGTACGGGCTCAAGATCTTCAAGCGAATGATGAATTTATTATTGTTGAATTTGAACAAGTTGTCTATCCTGAACAAATTGATATCTATGAAACATTTAATCCAGGTGCTGTTGTTAAGGTATTAGTACGAAATGGTATGTTTAATAATGTTGAATAGTTTTGTCAAATTTAATATAATAATAATAAACAGGAAAAGATGATTCCGAATCGAAAACTATTTGGGAAACTGAAGCTGCTCATAATGAAGGACAATGCAAATGCAAACTAAGTATAAAACAATAAAAGAATTAAATTCGTAGTTTTTTCTATTCCATGTACAAATATATCTGGAAAAGAAATAAACCAAATTCGTCTTAATGTTAATTGCAGAGAAGCTAGTAATTGATGTGAAATTGATTGTATTAAATTAATAGGTCATATATCTAATATTGATTTATTCTATAGAGAAATCTTAACAAATTTCAAAGATTTATTAACCAATAATTATTTATATGACGTTACATTTCAACTTGATAATGAACAATTAATATCATCTTATCGAAATATTCTTAGTATTCAATATATTTATTTTAATGAATTATTTACTGAATATCCATTGAATAAAGAAGAACCAATACAAATAAGAAATATATCTTATGAAGCTTTCTATCAAATATTACGTTTTATTCTTACAGATACAATTGAACCAATATTAATATATGATATATGTCTTGAATAAATGCGAAAAGTTGATGAATATTTTTAAGTTTAATCTATACGAAAGCATTTGGATATTCTAAAGAAAATAAGTAATGAAACAAATATATTAAAAATTTTTATTCAATCTGGTCTTTGTCCTATGACATCAAATGATAATGAACAAGGTCATATTCTTGTTAATTTTGCTGTCGATTTATGCATTGAATTTATTCAACAAAAAACATCGTCGAGATATTTATCTTCATGATAATATGCAACAATTAACACAAACTATGTTATTAAAATTAGTTTTGTTTTTATTTGAATATATTAAAAGTAAACTAAAATTAAAGCTTATATGAAGATTACATGCGAGAGTTTATTAAGGAGCATAATTCAGCATTTAGGACAAAGGGGCATAGGGGATCGCAACAAAGACAAGTGCCAAAAGTGCGGGCGCTGCATAATGGAGTTTCAAAAACAGGAGAAGACGTATTTTCCCGCATTAATCACGCTATTGTGTTGAATTAATTGATTCGGTCACTCACGTAGACTCATCTACACTGATTTGAAATCAATCTGTGCAAAATTTTGCACTGAACCGAGCGTTCTTTCAATTTCGTAGTTTAACTGTGAAAAGGTCTATATGAGAGTAAAACTCTCAAAGAGATCGAGTTCATATTTTATTGAAATTGAGATTTAAACTTTTCTGTACCAAGACAAATCATGCTTTTCTCTCTTTTTTGAGATTAACTATTCAGTAACGAAAATACACAACGTCAGACCTTGGCATTCGAAGCTGATGACCGAAATCCTTCGAATTAGCCATGCAATGAGTTCGAATTCCAGTGCGATGTTCGAACTGAACAGTTCGAGTTCGATATGAAAAAGTAGCTTTTCACTTCTGAAGCTTCATGCCACATACTACTAACTATCATGCATGTGAACAACGCATTCAAGAGAGAATGTGAGAACAGATTATGCCTAGGCCTTTGATCGATCCAAATAGCTACAACATACAGAAGAAAAGATCACTCGGCAGATATAGGATGAACAATTTTTGCCTGTATCTAAATACTTTCTCATAGATACAGTGGGAAACATTTATAAGAATAAAAATACATCTGTTGATATCAAACTGGTTTATTCATATTAGACCGAACCTGAATCTGTAGGTTCGATGCATGCCTAGGATCAATAATTAGGAGATGTTTTTATGCTCAATATCTCTCTATATTTGTAGTAGATGACTTGCGAAAAGACTATCCATAAAGAAGAATATGACGGCAAAGGTCAATACAGAAGAGAAACATATATTCATGTATTAGTCTTAAATCATATTTCTCGGACATTCTGTGTTTTCATCATAAATATGATTGATTCTTTATTGTTAAAATGTATTCATATTTAGTCCATTGAAAAGTATGTGTAGTGTTCTATAGATAATGCTTGAACAATCTCTTATTGCATTGATTGTAATTGTGGATAAATCGATTCCATAAATTCTATTGAATAAAAACAAAAGAAACATAGAGAAATGAATAATATTATACGAAAATAAATACTCTATTTGTTGATATATCTTATAGCTATTATAATTTTAAAAAAAGACATTTTATTTACCATTATAATCAATTTTTCCATCATTATTCTTATCAACATTTGAGATCATTCGTTTAACTTCATCATCCGGTAAATTAAATTTAGGTAAAATTTTTTTTAAAACTAATTTTAATTCATCTTTATCAATAAATCCATCATTGTTTTTATCAAATAAACGAAATTCTTTTTTCAAATCTTCTTTTGTATTACTTGATTTATCTAATTAATAATAAAAAATATTCATATTTGCATTCACATACTTTTGAAACTTACTATTCGATGCAGCCATACTTAATATTTTAGTGCCGAGAGAAAAAAAATCAAACAGTGATTGAAAATACAAAATCAAGAACAATTTATTTCTAATATGGTCACAGCTGCTTTTTATCAATATCATTATTATTGAAATACTAGGAAAAGAAAGAGATGAAGCCATATGTCTTTTGTAATTATTTTTGTTTGATGAAAAGATGAATATGAGAATGATTCTAGAATCTTATCATCGATGAGTAATATACATTAAAAAACATAAATAGAAAACTATGTTAAAATTACATACAAGGTGTATTTTAGAATTTAATGTTTTTTTTCCTTCGTGTATTTTATACTGAGAGATAGCTTCGTTTGTTTATACAAAATGATGTCGAAAACTAAAAAAAAGATCTTTTTTTCTAATTCTATTTCGATTGTTATCACTTTATTGTTACTTAACAAAAGATTTTCTTTTACATTATTTCAGCAATCAAGATCCAATGCAAATGATGAAATATCATAAATCATCAAGTTTATTTCATGACGAAAATCTATCTGACTGATATCCTTCGTTTGAGTTCATACTTTACTCATAGGCCAAAACTCAAAAGGGTTCGACCTATTCGCTCTTGTTTCTTAATTTATGCTCATTTTATTGAACTTTAAGTCTGTTGTAGGATATTACGAAAACGATAGCAACCACAATTTTCCACGTGAAATTTTTCATAACAATAGATCTCATAGTTCTTATAATATTCTGAAAGTTTCAGTCCAAACTCAGAAATGCACTCTTTGATTTCATATATATTAATATTTTATGTCAAAAAGTCATAAATAAGTATCAATAGAAGAAGAAAATCAATTTCTTTTCTGAATATGTGGTAGAGACATAATGGCTGTTAGTCTATCTTTTTTCGTGAAACATTGATCAATGCCTCTTTATTTTCTTTCATCAGGCAATGAAGGTTCGTTTATCTACCTTAATCGAACAATTGCATGAGTTAGTTTGCTCCATTACATCGGACAATGACAAGCATCACTCCACATATATCTCTAACAAATTCTCAATCATGAAAGTTTTTTTGCATGATTTCAATGTTCAGTCATATACATATCCTGTAAATTGCATATTATCATTTCATTACTACTACTTTCAATGCCTGAAATGAGTTTTCAAAACACTGTCGTTTAGACACTCAGTCGATTTTTATTTAGATTTTCTATGTAGTTTATTCACGTTTTCAACTCTAACAGTGCAAAAATCATGTTGCAACATACTTTGTGGAAGCTTTTAATTTAGATTGCTTCAGTCGTTTCTATACAATACGATTTATGTTCGTAGAGAGATCGTTGAGCATTCATTCAAGTTTCCCTTTAGCTCGTTTAAGTGTATTAGAGCGTATTTTGACAGAAAATACTATTGAATCATTATTACTGTGATCATTCTTTGAATGCAAAAGATCATAAATTGATTTTTGTAAATCACTTGATTAGATCTCATCAAGAGAAAATGTATCGAAAGAAAACACTCCTTGAATCTTTAAGCATACACAGGTATTAACATTTTTTGACAATGGGCAATTGCCCACCTTTAAATAAAAGTAGGTGGCAATTGCCGAATTGCCACCCTGCTGGCTACGCCACTGACATCTTCAATAAATACGTAAGTTAAGTTAGCACCAGATTCGACTATTTCTTGTCCCGATTCGTTTTCTTACCTGTGTTAACTCTCTAAGTGCTTGTGTTAGGTGCAGACTTTAATTCTCTATCCAATGGTACCACTTTCAAGAGGCGTCATCGGGCAAAAACCACTACTTTTACACGAAATACTCACTTTACTCCTGTGTATCAATAACAAATATCTTGTATTTCTTGTCCGGATTCGCTCTATGACTTCTCATAACTTTCTAGCCTAGTGTGTTGGATGCAAAATTTAATTCTCTATCCAATGGTGCTATTTTGAATGCGTGTTATCGAGCAAAAATGCGGGGTTATACCTCAAATACTGGCTAACACCCAATTCTGAGAGTAATTCTTGTCCCGATTCGCTCTACGCCTTGTGTTAACTTTCTAACCTGGTGTGTTGGATGCAGAATTTAATTCTCTATCTAATGGTACCATTTCAAAAGCGTGTTATCGGGCAAAAATGGGGGGTTATAACCCAAATACTGGGTCTGACACCAAATTTTGACAATAATTCTTGTCCAGATTCGCTGTACGACTTGTGTTAACTTTCTCACCTAGTGTGTTGGATGCAGAATTTAATTCTCTATCAAATGGTAGCATTTCGAAAGGGTGTTATCGGGCAAAAATGGGGGTTATACCCCAAATACTGGGTCTGACACCCAATTTAGACAATAATTCTTGTCCAGATTCGCTGTACAACTTGTGTTAACTTTCTAACCTAGTGTGTTGGATGCAGAATTTAATTCTCTATCAAATGGTAGCATTTTGAAAGGGTGTTATCGGGCAAAAATGAGGGGTTATATCCCAAATACTGGGTCTTACACCCAATTCTGAGAGTAATTCTTGTCCGGATTCGCTCTACGACTTGTGTTAACTTTCTAACCTAGTGTGTTGGATGCCGAATTTAATTCTCTATCTAATGGTACCATTTCGAAAGGGTGTTATCGGGCAAAAATGGGGGTTATACCCCAAATACTGGGTCTGACACCCAATTTAGACAATAATTCTTGTCCAGATTCGCTGTACAACTTGTGTTAACTTTCTAACCTAGTGTGTTGGATGCCGAATTTAATTCTCTATCTAATGGTACCATTTCGAAAGGGTGTTATCGGGCAAAAATGGGGGATTATACCATAAATACTGGGTCTGACACCCAATTTTGACAGCAATTGTTGTCCAGATTCGCTCTACGACTTGTGTTAACTTTCTAACCTAGTGTGTTGGATGCAGAATTTAATTCTCTATCCAATGATACTAGTTTGAAAGGGTGTTATCGGGCAAAAATGGGGGGTTATACCCCAAATACTGGGTCTGACATCCAATTTTGACAGTAATTCATGTCCGGATTCGCTCTAGAACTTGTGTTAACTTTCTAACCTAGTGTGTTGGATGCAAAATTTAATACTCTATCCAATGGTAGCATTTTGAAAGGGTGTTATCGGGCAAAAATGGGGGTTATACCCCAATTACTGGGTGTGACACCCGATTTTGACAGTAATTCTTGTCCGGATTCGCTCTACGACTTGTGTTAACTTTCTAACCTAGTGTGTTGGATGCAGAATTTAATTCTCTATCTAATGGTACCATTTCGAAAGGGTGTTATCGGGCAAAAATGGGGGGTTATACCCCAAATACTGGGTCTGACACCAAATTTTGACAATAATTCTTGTCCAGATTCGCTGTACAATTTGTGTTAACTTTCTAACCTAGTGTGTTGGATGCAGAATTTAATTCTCTATCCAATGGTAGCATTTCGAAAGGGTGTTATCGGGCAAAAATGGGGGGCTATACCCCAAATACTGGGTCTGACACCCAATTCTGAGAGTAATTCTTGTCCGGATTCGCTCTATGACTTGTGTTAACTTTCTAACCTCGTGTGTTGGATGCCGAATTTAATTCTCTATCCAATGATACTATTTTGAAAGGGTATTATCGGGCAAAAATGGAGGGTTATACCCCAAATACTGGGTCTAACATCCAATTTTGACAATAATTCTTGTCCGGATTTGCTCTACGACTTGTGTTAACTTTCTAACCTAGTGTGTTGGATGCAGAATTTAATTCTCTATCCAATGGTACTATTGTGAAAGGGAGTTATCGGGCAAAAATGGGGGATTATACCACAAATACTGGGTGTGACACCCGATTTTGATAGTAATTCTTCTCCAGACTTGCTCTAACACTTGTGTTAACTTTCTAACCTAGTGTGTTGGGTGGAGAATTTAATTCTCTATCCAATGGTACTATTTTGAAAGGGTGTTATCTGGCACAAATGGGGTGTTATACGCGAATTAATGGGTCGAAGGCTTCGTTTGATGGGATAACTTCTCTCATGAAATTTTATTTATACAGTGTCGGAAAGCAACAAGCTAAAGAGGGTGAGTCCGTATATGCAGAGTTTTTAAATTTTTTGCTATAGAGGCTTAATTACTTGCTACTGTTAGTGGAGCTTCTAGTTGTACGTAGTCGTTTTATTGTTCCGTTTATTCAAACTGATGGTGTTTCTATTTATTATTTTGAATACTTAGAAAAGCTTATCTGTGGCGAAGGCAATGAAATAAAAAGAACAATTCAAAATTGCCAACTAATGTGAATTTGTTTCAATTGGAATAATTTTCCTTGTTCTGTGTTATAGCCAAAGAGAATAATATTCAAATATCCACGTACCATTTGTTTTATTCATTTTGGAAGTATCTATTGATTTATGAATAATGTCTAGGATACAGTAGTATGGAAGTGTCCTAATAAAAACACCTAAGAGAGAAGCAATGAATCATATTCTTTAAAAAAGTGTTATTGAATAATGTGGAAAAAAGAATATGACAGAGAGAAAAGAGAATACAGTTGACAAACAGTAAATAGATATAATTTAACGAGAGAAAGAATATCGTAACATGTTTAGAAGGACGCGCAAACGTGATAGATGACAACAGCTGATTTTGATACTTGTTGATATTAAATCATTAGAAGAAAATGAGAGGCATTATATGTGCATAAATGAAAAAGTAGACGAAA